CGGGTCTGGGGTCTGAGACTGTTCCCCGGTAATTAGTGGGAACGGGAAGACACTCATTTCCAAGGCCCATTGAAGTGGCCCGTCTTTTTGAGCTTAAGTTAACTCTAGCTAGACTCTGGGAGGGGAGATTCCTGTCTGAGCCGCTACCCTCTAAACTGGAACAATCTCTGTCTTTCAGTGGCTTTACAGAGTTCTTTCCTCCTTCCTCTTCAGAGTCTGAACTGTGCCCTCCACTCGTTTCTGCAGCCCGGGACTCACCATCTCGCCCAGCACGGGGCATGTTGCTCAGCAGGCCACCCTGGGGGCCGCCCACCGCACACAGTGGCACTGAGCTATGGCTCCGTCTTCCAGGCACGGCCCGCATGCGTCCCGGTGAGCCAGGGTCTGCACTGGTCTTGGGGTCAGGTGCTCTGCCAAGGTGGGACAGCGCCCTCCCTCCCATGTGATCCTTAGGGAGCCTGGTGTGAGTGTGTGCCCTTAAAGACTCAGCCTGCGTGTCACCAGTGCTTCCTTTGCAGGCTGGGTCGCTGTCAGTCAGAAGTTCAGAAAGGGGCTTAGCTCTCTCGCTAGAGACGTCCTTCACTTCATGTAGACCTGGCAGGCTGCGTGGGGACAGCAGTTCCTGCGGTGCCTCTAATGCCCCCGGCCCTTGATCGGTGCTATCTGGCAGCCAGGCCCCTCTGCAAGTCCCATCAGAGGTGACAGCTGAGTGACAATCTTCTGCTGCAGCTGCTCCACGCACACGAGCAAACGGCTCATCGTCAACGTCCAGGCCGTCGGGGTCTACCACGCAAATACTGTAAAACTCGCTCTTGCTTGAATTTCTGCAGCGTTTACGACCCACGCCCGCAGGGTCTCCACCCTTCGTCTCCCTACTAGACACAGTTAGAGCATTACTCCCATGGCCACGACCGACCTGAACGCTGACCTCTATTTCCTTCTCTGTTACAGTGTCTTTACAAGTGATGGGGTGATGGCACATTTGTCTATTTACGGGGCCTCCTTTCTGAATGTCCTGGTCACAAGGCCCTGGTACATATGAAAGACACTCGTCTCCGTCAGAGTAAGCACCTGCAGAGAAAGCGGGTGGTGTCCTGTCGATTCCCACACGGGGAGGCGCGCAGACACGGCCACCAGCCTGCTCAGAAGCAACAGTATCTGAATTCTTGTCAGTGTCATCTAAATCTTCATACCCAGTTAGGAACTTATACACTGAAGAGGAAACGGAGTTGAAGGACGGCCCTGCTCTGCAGGCCTCTTTGTGCCCAGCCCCCGCGGACGCCTGCGTCCCCGCGTTAGCTCCGGCAGCTGACCTGCTGGCTCCGCGGTGGACACTGCAAAGCTCCTCGCCCTGCAGGGTATCGAATAATGCAGATAAAGCTTTACTTATCTTGTTATCCGGTTCCTTCTCCTCCACAGATTTTTGTAACAGGCCAGTTTTCTCATTGTCTTTGTCACCACTTAATTCTTTGCTGAAGCAACAACCCATGTTCAAAAGTTGAAACACTCACATAACAATGCCTGTCGCTTTCTGAGCTCCACAAGTGCACCTCACACTAACTCTCTATGGTTTCCAACGAGAAGCCGACACCCAGACACCAAAAATAGCCCCTTGCACAGCAGTCACATGTCCCCGCCACTCAAATCCAAAATCCTAATTACAACAGCCTCTGCCTGACACCATCTTACTCCGCACTCTAAAACTCAAACAGCACACCCAACGCAAAGACTCAGAACAGCAACAAAAGTTTTCATATTCTTTATTCTCATAAACTGAATAATAATAAAAAAAAAAAACTAAATTATCATCCCAGCCAGAAAAAGGAATTTCAGACTTCTGCTTTTTCTATAGTGTTTCGGCATTCTCTGAATTATATTTCACAGGATGGTGGCAACCAAAGAATTTAATTTGTATAGTTCACAAAGAAAAATGATAATAGAAATTTAAGTACTTATAGTTGTATCTAATTTTCTGCCTTTGAGAAATAACGTCTGTGGGTGTGGGTGCGGTATGGTGTCTATTAGAAATCCATGTTGAAATGCTTCTGGGGTGAATGGCACTTAGGGATTTATTTAAAAAAGTAGATACATCATAACATTTTTTGAAGTGTATACGTAGAGGGGAGAAAAAGATGAAACAAAGTAGCAAAACATGAGAAGTAACATCTAGTTCATGATAGGCACTGCACACTGGGTTCTTTTTATTCTGGTCTACAGAGGTCTGAAAATTCTAGATCAGAAGAAGGGTCCAATACCCGGGTCCCTTGGAGGCTCCTGAAGCCCTTTCTCACACGGGGTGAGCAGTCATCCTACTACATTACGCAGGTCCTACCCTTACGGGCCTTAAAACTTCCGGGATAAAACTTACTTGTTAAAACATTTAGTCAAGTCATACGGAATGTAATTTCCTAAATAAACTTTAATAAACAGTTATAGCCAAGAATGCCTGTGAAGGCTGTAAAAACCTTCAGGATAAGCAGAAAGAAAAAATGTACTGGAGATGACTTTATTACTTTTTAATTGTGTGCCTTCATATATACAACTGTAGTTTTAATAGTTAAATTAATTTCAGTCACTCAGATGATGCAAATAGTTGCCAAACGGCTGACGAGAGTTGGGTTTTGTTTTTGGTATTATTTTCTATTTGATCTTTCTCCTTTTAAATAACAGATACCAAAGAGGAAGTATCTCAATGAGTTTGGACTCTGCAGCCAGATTGCCTGGGTTTAAATCCTGGTTCTGCCACATTCTAGTTGACTCATCACAGAAAATTACTTAAGCCTCTCCAGGGCTCAGTTCCCCAGTTAGGGTCACTTTTGGTGCTCATGGATCTGTTAGGCTTGTAAATAATTAGAACTCAAATTTGCGGAGGGCGGGGAGCAGGACAGGTATAATAAATGTGATTGATTTTACCACTGGATGAGTGCAAGCCCACTTCTGAATTACTCAGATTTTTATCTGGCCATCACTATGGAGGTTCCCCTTGGACTCATACCGCATCCAACCTTGGCGGAAAAACTAACCTTTAAAGAGCCTGATTCCTAAGTCAGACTGCTAAGCACCCTCCCTGCCCATCACAACTGCAGGCTGCCGAGCATTCACACTTGAGAACCGTGGCGCCAGGGAAGACATCCACACTCTTAGGGGTGCCAGACACAATGCCAGTGAGAAAAATGTTCAGAGAAACACCACTGATAACAGCAGGGAAAAATAGACAATTTAGATGTTTCCAAAAACCAAATGGCTAAAGAAATGATGTATTAGCAACATAAAGAAAACACTACAGGGTCTACGGCCATGCCACCCTGAACGCGCCCAATCTCGTCTGATCTCGGAAGCTAAGCAGGGTCAGGCCTGGGAGACCACCTAGGAAAACCTGGTGCTGTAGGCGTTAAAAAAAAAAAAAAAAAGAAAGAAAGAAAGAGAGAGAGAAAACACAACAGGGCAAGTACAACAGGATATATAGATGAAATCATGCTATGTGGGAAAAAATGAAATGAAATACATATATGCTGATTACAACGAAATATGTTTGTAGTCTTTAACAAGACTTTTATCTTCTGTAAAGATGCTTGAATTTGTTACAAACAAAGTTTTAAGTGATACACATGTTGGAGCCAAGATGGTTTCTTATAGTACCTTCCCACTCAAGGGTCCTCGGAAAACCTAAAGTGTGCAACACCCTGTAACACTGGTGAAAAAGCACAGCCCTGACTTACAACACCGGGTGTCAGAGCTGTGACCCACCCAAGGGGCACAGGGCATCGCGTCAGCAGGGTAGAACAAAGAACTCGCCACGTGACGCTGCTATAGGACATCGACTCTTAAAAATAACAAAGAAAACATGTGTAGGTAGTACGAGGTGGAAATTATTTCTCCACAGAAATGAAACATTGAATCCTGGCTCAAGTGTTTTACTTTTCTAGATAGGTCTTATCTCAATTGTCACCCACAAAGTAATTTAAAAAACAGGCAAAAAAAACCCCCACAGAATCCAAAATCTAGGTTTATGCCCAACAATAGGTATTATTTTAGACTGCAAATCAACCATGGAGAGGAGGGAGATTTGTTCTTAAAAATACATTTTAAAACTCCCTCAATGATTTCTGTACCATTTCCCTCTTAGACTACTAAAGGTCTTATATTTTTATTTTAAATTACTTGAAATATTATAAAATTCATTTTTTTAAAAAATCAATGTAAAATATGATAAGCAAAAACTCCTACGTACATAATAGAATAACAACAATGAAATATAATAGTTTGGAGAGATCTTTCAATTTTTTTAAATTCCTCCTTATTAAAAGATCAATAATCTAATCCCCTCCTTTAATTTCTAAATGAACTACTTGTAATTTGGAGGAATAGAGGAGGTTTACTATAAATTGTGATATTACTTTGAAAATCTTACTTTTGCTTTAAAAAAAAAGAGTTTGTTTCTAAATTTTGTACAGGATTTATAAGATCACTTACAAGACTACCAAAATAAATCTGGAGTGGCTCCAAGTACACCTGATATACGGAGACACACACGGTGTAAAGGATTTAAAAACCAACAGACCTCCACTTCCTTATTCTTTCATTAATCACAGCTAAAATGTGAAACCAATTTTCTTACAGCTTACTAAGACGTGCGCTTTAAAAAACACAGATACCAATATGTAAAACTAATCCAATATATACAATAGATTACCAATGAACCATTAAAAACACTGTGATGAATGTCTGACATCAAGGTAATAGACAAGGCACACTGCCCTCTGCAGAACTATGCACATGACACATGCAGAAGCCAGAAGAGGGCATACAGCACTGACACCCCCTGTACCCGGCTGGAACCCCCAGAAGAGGGCGTACAACACCGACCCCCACTGTACCCGGCTGGACCCCCAAGCCTCTTTTTTGAAAACATCAACATTTTCTAATTATTTTACAATAAATATCTGTTATAAGAAAATATCTGTGAGCTTTTGCTGTGACTTATCTCAGAACTAAATTACCTGACTCAAAGCGGGGATGGAGCTCGTCTGAGAAGTGGTCTGAGATATGGGACCATTCATCTGCAAGATTGAAAACATCAAATACCCCATCACTACAAGGTAAAGAAATGTATTTTTAAATCACAGTAACTGAGCAAAACAAAACCCACTGAGAAAAGCACATTTTTACATGACAAAGGAAACTGAGGGATGTAGAAGCCTTGAAACTTAAAATATTTTGATACTCTGACTGAATACCATAAGTAAAATTCCTTGTAGTTTCAAGAGGGAAAATTAAGAAACTTTGGAAAGTTACTAATATTTAGAAACTTTAAATATTATTGCTTAACATGATAAAATGATACATTAATGAAAGCAGTCAAAATAAAAAATTTATACTGTAATCCAAATTAATTCCTTAACTACACACCACTGCAATGGCTACAACATTACAAAAGTATAAATCTCTGCCTTCTTGGTGATGTAAACCCAAAGCTTTAAGTATCTAGTACTATTAACTGCCATTTGTTTTCTCTATCACTTAGTACTTAAGTTTACTCTAACCCACCCAGAGATGTATACAGAATATAACACCTATACTTAGGCCACAAGAGATGCCAGTGTGCCTGTTCTGACTGAGGCGCTGAGTCCAGCGCAGAGCCTGTGGTCAGAAGCGGAGGGAGGCGTGCGGGCCGTGCTGGCGGGGCGCACGCGGCACACTCACCAGATGCGCGCCGTCTTTCCCTTCTTGGACTCTCTGGCCCTGCG